AAAATATGAAAAGTTAGGTATTTTGTTATAAGTTAGCTATTTAGGAGTTTTTTCTTTATGTTTACATAATTGTTTCACTCCAAATCACTAGTCATTCACTTTTTCTCATATTTAACAGAGAACACTCATGCTCCTCTTAGATTGAAGTATCTGAATTTTTCAATTCTAGCCAATCATCTGGAGTATAAACAAGCTCAACAAGTATTTTGACATACAAAAAACCCTTTGTCTAAATAAAGAATAATGGTTTAGAATATTATGCTTTTTAAACCTCAAAAGTAGTAGGCCAGAGCTGAGGATAAACTTGAACTTTTCAGGTAATCTTGAACAAAAATATTACTAGAAAAACCTATCTGTGGCATGGAACAAATCTGGAGAGGGCTGATAGCAGGACCCAGAGCTGAGCTTCAGCCTGGGGTTTCCCAGCTGTCCCACACGTGTCAGGCCACGTGGCTTTGTCCCGGCAGAAGACCTCACATGGGCCTTGCTGCACTGTGGTATAGACATGGGAAGCCATGGGACGGGAGGTGTGAAAGTGGCAGGGAGAGCTCCATGCTCCACACCGAGTGGAGAGGAACATCAGCAGCAACAAAGAATAGACCACCTCCATAGGTACAGCAAGCTCTCGCTGCCTCCGCTTCTCTGAGTTGTTTTATTTAAACACAACTGCTCTTGTTCACCATATCAGACAAAGAGCTTATCCTGAACCATTTTAACTACTTCATTTTGAACATGGCAGGGCAGCCAGTGGTGAGATGTGGTGAGCTTCCCTGATCCATCCTAGGACCCAGCTTTGAAATGGAGTGGTCTTTGGCTTCTATCATTGCATCCCTCAGAAAGGCACGAAGCTGCCTCACATGCCACCAACATCCCAAATTAGCCTCACGGATCCTGGCTCCCCTGTGTGCCAACCACAAGTAACACATAAGCACCAGAAAGTGGATTTTAAGTGGTTAAAATGGATCAGTGACCCCGGCTTGCAGATCATTTCCCTGCCCCAGAAGCTGGCAAGAAGCTGGGTGGTTTGGATGCCAGAGCTGTCCCTCCAGCCCCAGCACACAACTGGGCAGTACCCCACAGGAGCAGAGCCCCATTACGACTGATCCTGATTAGCGGCTGATGGCACGGCTGTCGAAGCTGGCGTGTTATCAACGAACGGCAGCCTGGCTTATACCCACACCCCAGGGACGGGACTCCAGGCGAGTGCTGCAGAGCCTGCCCGGTCCCTACCATGGGAAAAGAGCACAGTCCCGCCGCTGCAAATCCATTTAATTGAGTCAATCAGAATATGTGAGCTATTGCCAGAAAGTCAGCCGAGGAGTGTAGAAGAGGCTCCGTGCGCATCCAGGATTACTGCTTTCAGAGAGGTCACGGGAAGGGGAGAAATCCGGTGAAGAACAAAGCTGCTGCATCGCAGCTCCATTAACAAACTTCCCCACAACACAAACATCACGTCTCCTTACTCTAAACAAGTGGGGTTTTACTCTCTAGACAGCATTTAATCAGTATTAGTATGCCAAAACAAGACGCTAGTTGTGTTTTCTGAATAGAAATGTAAGTATCACGGGTTTGGGAAGAGCTAGCACCGCGAGACATCTGGCAGGGGAGAGAAAATCAAGAACAGGATCACACGAGGAGCCCTTCAAGAATCACCACTTCCTCTAAAACACTCTGCCTCTAAAATAAACCTACGTTTTCCTCTCATCCAGCCATAGCCATCTGCTTTTTAGCAACTTAGAATACATTGCGATTTTTTTATGGCAGATATAAGATCTTGAGGTGAGCTCCTCCATTTACAGCTGTGGCAGCCCCTCTGTTTATAACATATGCACACTTGTAAGATGTTTTTAATTACTTCTGTCTCCCTGACACGCTGAGATGCTGCTTAATAGGAAATTGTGTTATTGTATATGTTTTAAGATTTCTAAAGCTAGATTATTTCACATTTTCTACCCTACTGAGCTAGGAAATTAACAGTAAAACTTTATCCTGCCCTCTAGGAAGCCTGATTTAGTCAAAGACATGATCTCAGGTAGTAACTATAGAATCAGCTATTTATTTAATTTAAATGAAACCATTCTTCCAGCAGACAGTGAAGGGAAGAAATAATATGTCATGGAAAGGTTCCCAAGCCAATACTTCTCCCCTACATCCACTCCTGGGTTACTTTCCGTGCATGTTGAAGTGCACTGCTGATCTGCGTTAAACAAGCTGCGGTAGAACAGAAGGCAACTAATTTGTGCTCCCTGGGTGCTGGGTAACTAATTTAACTCTTGCTGGTGTATAGACTATAAATAGAAAAAGATGTTACAGGCTCACACAAATAACATTTCTATGAAAGTTAATAATTCAACAGTAAGAAAAAAATTTTTTTCCCTACCTATCTGTCCTATCAGGAGTGGTGAACAGGAGTTGTGTTGCCTTTAATCCCAAAAAAGCGGGTGATGTTAGGTGTCTTCTTGTATGATGACTTATCTGAGGGCTGACACCCTAAACACAGGGTGTGCACTCACCCCCTCGGCAACACACCTTTTCCCTCTCTCAGTTTGGTCCAGGAGGAAGCATTATCCATTTGGAACTAAAAGACAAAAGGCTACTGGGCTGGACAACTGTGCATGTCACAGGAACCATGTCTGAGAGATGACCCTTGGCCTCCCATGGAGATGGAGGAAAACTGGACAACTGCTTAGATGAGCTACCTAATTCATCAGCAAGAGTAGAAGTGATAGGTCTTATTCAGGTGACAGGCTGAGCTCATCTCTACGTGAGTTTGTACAAGCAGAACACTTCCTGTGGGCAATTTTCATATCCACCAGAAACAGTCTTGCAAAATGCGCAAGTTGATGACAACATCCTAATTCTAACATCAAAGAGTGTTACCATCTTCAACCAAGTGGGTTGTAACAAAATGTATGCGTCAAATAGAATCATAGAATCATAGAATCTTTGGGTTGGAAGGGACCTTTCAAGGTCATTTAGTCCAATCCCCCTGCAATAAGCAGGGACATCCTCAATGAAATCAGGTTGTTTAGAGCCCTGTCCAACCTGACCTTGAATGTTGCCAAGGATGGGGCATCTACCACCTCCCTGGGCAACCTGTGCCAGTGGTTCACTACCCTCATTGTCAAAAATGTCTTCCTTACATCCAGTCTAAATCTACCCTCTTTTAACTTAAAACCATTACTCTTCCTATTGCAACAGGCCCTGCTACAAAGTCTGTCCCCATTTGTCTTACAGGCCCCCTTTAAGTACTGGCAGGCTGCAATAAGGTCTCCCCAGAGCCTTCTCTTCTGCGGGATGAACACCCCCACCTGCCCCAGCCTGTCCTCACAGGAGAGGTGTTCCATCCCTCTGATCATTTTTGTGGCCTCCTCTGGACCCGCTCCAACAGGTCCATGTCTTTCCTGTGCTGAGGGCTCCAGAGCTGGACTCAGGACTGCAGGTGGGGTCTCGCCAGCACGGAGTAGAGGGGCAGAATCACCTCCCTCAACCTGCTGGCCACGCTGCTTTGGATGCAGCCCAGTTGGCCTTCTGGGCTGTGAGTGTGATAATAGTTCCACGTCCCTATGATTGGTATATGGTTTCAATTTTTAAGGGCTTAATATACAAATATAATAAAAAAATACACCAGAATGTACAAATCAAATCAGCTTCTTTTAAGAAAAACAAAGGGTCAGATGTAGCTTCCTGGATCTGCAATTACTAATGCTTTTTCCACAGTTTTTGAATGGAAATTGATTGACTCATCACAATTTGGAATATTTTCCTTTTAGAGAATTCTCAGTTGCATGATCCTGTATGCATCCACTGTGTTAAGGATAGTGCTATACCTATGGATGTTCCTTTTTTCAGATTCACACCTGAAATTGCTAGACAACAACTTTTCTTGCAGAGATGTAGCTTAGACCTAATCAGAAATCAGGTAATTCTGTCCCTAACAAAGGCTGTCTTAGGTAACCAAAGACAAAAAGATTACTAACACCTGATAAAAGGAAAAGCTTTCCAAAGGTGTAAATGTAGGGTAAAGCACAAAGCAAACGAGGTTGACTACCCTCAAAGTCAAGTTTATTAGGAAATAAACAGAAACGAATGATCAGTCCAACAGTAAAACAAGATAGAAGCGTATGTTTGGAAGCACTGGAAAAGTTACAAGTCCCTGGACACGTTAGTCTTTGGCATTTCAAGTACCCCATAGAAAAGGGGAAAGAGAAAATCTTTAGGGTTTTAAACTATTTTCATTTTGTTTATTTTAATTCATTTCAAATTAATACAAACACTAAAAGATTTAGGAGCCTGCAGCATCTCATCTCCTCTGGTGCTGCATATCACCTGGTCCCCTGCATGCACACCCCTCCCGGACTGATACCACTTGCTTTAATATTGACACAGTTCAGACTCAATCCAGTCCTCATTACAGAAAATAGGATTTGAAACGACATTTCAGCCACGGGATGCTTCAAAGTCTGGTAGATGAGACAGCAGCTACGATCTCAGTTCTGAACCCTTTCATATCACTGGCATTATTTGATTAATTTTCTAAACTGAGTTTATTACACTGCATATTAAGAGGAAGAAGAAAAGCAGATGAGAGAGACTCTGTGGCTCATTTTAGATAAACTTCGTCCTAAACTGTTCTGCATGGCTGCAATGTACTTAAACACAGTTCACTGTGATAATTTACTGACTTCAGCTTGTAAGAAGGGATATTCTAAGTAAAAGCAAAAATCAAAAACGCCTTAGGTTCACTCTTAATGCAATTTTCTCTGCAACAGGGAAACCAACCCCTTCTATATGCAATGTACATTCAGCAACTGTTCATTTATTTTTAACAACATTTTTAACAACTACACTGGGAAATCAAGATACCAAACCCACAACTCAGTGGCACAGGATTGATTAGTGAGTGCTGCACCAATTCCATTAGCAAACTCCAATCTGGACAATCCTGGAATGCATCTATTTAATATCCCCCCAGAAAGAAGGACGATTTTTGGACTTACGGCTGGTTGTCCTGCTTTGATCACTCTGAGCACTGTCATTTGACTGGTTGCTGGAGACAGACGATAGGCTTGAGCTCCTGACAAAACCGAATGCTGACAGCTTAGCTGCTGGCAACCGTGAATAACCTGGAGGACGAAGTCCAGACTGGCATGGCTTGGGGAGATTTGACTTTGCAGCACTTGGACATGAGCCTTTCTTAAGATCAACTGAAAGAAGGAAAAAGAAAGAAATTTTTATTAAACAAGCTAAACTGGGACATGCTGTACATTACCTGTACCACCCAGCTACATAAAATCAGTATAAAGACTGAAAACAAGTTTTAACGGCTGTTCAAATTGCAGTGATGTCTTATTCTTTGCTCCACTAAAGAGGAGTTCTGTGCTATAATTACAGCTCACAATAACTTTTAAAACGTGAAATGCAGCAAGGACCCATGAGGTATAACTCAAACTTCCAGCAAAGTAATGTAGTTCAAGTCTGTTAAGTTTTTCTTCAATGCTATCTTCTTTTATGCTGTATCCCTTTCTAGTTTTATATTTGTTATGTGCCAATTAAAAGAAACTTAGAGACAAACACACTACACATAGTCTACAATTTTGGAAGCTATTGTAGAACACCAACAATCCTCAAGGACACAGGACTTCTTTGTATTCCATCAAAGAAAACACTTCTTTGAAGTTTCTTTCAAATTTTGCTAAAAGAAAATGCCCTTTTCTTCCACCAAGCCTGGAAACAAGGATGTGCCTGTAAAGTTGTACTGTTTTAACATCCTACTAGCCATTTCCATTGATGGACTTCACGTCACTATAAACCATCAGCCTATGTGAATGACACCGACCAAGTCTTAGACAACTGCCAATAGCAGGCTTGTAACAGATGAATTCAGGCAACAAAAGTAATTCAACTACCATGTCTGCCTGTGGTAACTACTAACTGCTCAGCTGTCTCCAGCTTGTGTCCTAACCCATATTCTGCTGCTCTTGCTTAGGCAAACTTTTCTAGGCAAATCCAGAACACAGGTCCATAAATACCCCAATCTGTCTTCATGGACAGACCAAAGCTTCGAGTTTGCTTTTGCTTGGAAGATCTGCATACCAGGTGGATCTGGATCTCAACTGTACATAAAACTTGGACAGTTTTTCTTTGTATTTTTGACAATATCAGACTCCTGTTCCTTGTGGAATCCTGAGCAGCAAACATACAAAAAAACCCCTCCAAAACACAAAAAAGTTCTCCAAAAGACAATGCTACAGTCATCAGTCAATCAGCTAGTCATCAGGACTAGTGGGTTAGGAGACAAGGCAACATTAAAACTACCAACATATTCTGCCAGAAAAGGCCACAAAGTCACCCCTTTTCCATTCTCATTTGGGGAACACTATTTGTGCATTAGCCTGACACATACTTCAAAGGAAGAGTGAACATTCATAATAAAAAGGAAAAATAGAAATTAACTGCACAAGCATATGGGCTTCATATTATTATAAAATTTAATTCTTTTTTAAACTATGTAGGTCACAGCCTTATTAATTTTAATGAAGTATTACACTTTGAGACTTTATAGAAAACAAGACTAACTCCTTTGAGCAGAAAAATGTTATGGGGATTTTGAAAGATAGTTGTGTACCTCATCACAATAATAATACTAAGCTTTGTTTAACAAAACTAAGCCTTTTCTTCTGAAATAGAAATATGTGTAACACCGAGCTTGAAAGAGTTTTGTTATCCTATGAAACACAGCACTATAAAAGACATTAAAAAATGCTCCTTGCTCAATGAACAAAATAATTTATATACTACAGACTCTTAAAAACGCATTTTTTGTACCCACTTTTCACAAGTTGAGGTCTTTATTAAGACACAAGGAGATGGATGTCTGACTGCAGCACCTCTACCATCCCAGAGGAAGACAGGCTGTGGAGAGCAACCCAAATGAAACTAACAAATATCTACAGCATGAAATAAAAGATTGTTAAAATCCCTGTTCACTTTTTTGGCACCAACAGGGACAATTTTGGACTTGATCCTCAATCTGGCTTCTTCTGAACTATGTGAAGATGGGCTCGGAGGTAGCTGTGTGCTCCAGGTGCAGGGAAGAGCCATGCAGACACATTAGCACAGAGAACAGATAAGCAGTGATGTTTACCACCACTGTTTACTGCTAGGCTTGTGCAGCATTGCTTTGACAGTGGTCTGTTAACTGGTTTAGGGTTATCTGCAAAGCACCATCAAGACAGACATCTTCTCTCCCCACTGCCGGGGACATCCACGTCACATCTAAAGGACTCCGCAGAAAAGTACTACAAAACCTGATCTCAACGTTTCCCTCAATGCTATCAACACACCTGACATTTAGTGTGAATCATGTTAACTGATTTTCATGTAGGAACAAGAAAAAGTGTCCAGCGGAAGGCTTTAAGAGTCCCAAATGCTAGAAATGCCATGCTAATCATCTTTTGGACAGAATCTCTCTATTTGAGAGGACTAATACCTTCCTGCGTTAACAGCTGCTGCATGGTGGGACTCAGTCTAAAGCTGGACTTTCACCATGGAAGGATGATCCTGTGCTCTCTCCTTTCCACAGTCAGACTCATCATGCCCCCACCAATGCTGATACAAACACTTCAGCAGTATTTTGGATGGGCCAGACCATCTTGCTTACCCAGCTGGCTGCACAGTCTTACATTTGCTAGTGGCTGGGCATGGCCAAGTATCTGCTTCTCCAGCTACCTAAAGGACTAATTACACAAGGGCAACTGCATGTGATAAAAGGCACACAACTCAGGCACACTCTGGAAAATACTCTGCTGTGTTGCAGCGGTGACAGGACCAAGCCCAGGTAGCCTCCAGATTTGAAGCAGAGGTGAGTACCCATGGCAAGCGGCTGCAGGAGCAAGGAACCTGCCCGGGTCAGCGGCAGCAGGGAGAAGGTACAGGGCTGCCTCTTGGGAGTTTTGCAGGTTTCTGAAAAATGCACCAGCAGGTCTGCACTACAGAAGCTGAGAGTCGAGATTCTTTTTTCCTAAGAACCTCTGAAAACTGAGGTGGAGGGAGAAATCTTTCCATTTTAGAGCAAAAAGCTATAAATATCACAGATTTGATTTCCTGCAACAGAATAGGGGAAATTCCACTGGGGCAGGGGGGTGGGTGGTTAGAAATGGTTGTGTTTAAAAAAACATTTGAAATGTTCTTGCCCTAGGAAAGTGAGGTTCACCTGGGACTCCCAGGTCCCCCACTTAACCGCAGGGATGCCTGCACCGAGTGCCCAGCTGTCCATTCTCTGCCCTGCCCTGTGACCAAGCCTGCAGCCCGCAGCGCACCAAACACCACGGGTGTCACTGAAAAAGAATTTCCTTAAAACCAGAAGGTTTTTGGTGACAAATTGCCCAGCCATCTCTACCTCCTCTTCAAAATAATTCTCCCAAGTCTGAACAGAGGATGCAGTGGGTTTTCTCTTACTTTCGTGCATGTTTCAGTTTGTGACTTCAATTCAGATTTCCCCTGAACTAACAATATTTTGTATCTTGAATTCATCATCATCCTTAAATCATTTTTCACTTCTCTTTGTAATCCAGCTCTTCTGTACCATGAGGACCTGGGGGCAGGACATTATCCTCATCAGGGATGCATTCAAATCCTTAAAGCTAAGTCATTTTGTATCTTCTCTCTCATTAAAATACATGAGACAACAGCCTATTGTACATATTTTCTGTTCTAGATATCATCAAATTTCACGATGGATGTTCTTTATTTCTGTTCCTTAGAAGTATGGAAACACTCCTGCAAATAAGGTCTGGGAGTTCAAAACAAAAGTTGTTTTAATGAGCAGCTTTCCTTTTAATAAAAATCTGCCAAAATAAGCTTAAAAAATTGGCAAAAAATCTTTCCAGCTGTCTCACTGCCTGAAGCTAATTATAGAATTAAGTATTGTTGCCTGTATGGCACACAAGCAATTTTCTATGACACTTCAAGCTGTTCCCATCTAGAAACATGAAAACATTTTGAGGTAGCAACTGATTGACACAAACCAGATGTGTCTGGGGAACCTTAAGAAAAGTCTGAGCTAGACTTCTTATGTGTCCCCACTGCACGTGAATCGCATCTCCGTGCACATGTATAACTAAAGAGCAATCTTCATGTGACTTCTCTGTGAAATCTGAAGCAGGTTTTAGCTGAAACAAATGAAAAGTTAAAGAATCTCTAGTTAAACTGAGTAGCAGTTCAAGACTTCAGCTCTACTTGCGATTCAGGAATCCTTGGCACGCCTTTGTTTTCCTGTGATGGGTTTGAGGGTTTTTTGACAAGCATTTCCCTTAAAATTTTAATCATTAGGTGTAATTTTCTCCCAGAGCTTACTTTCTTTTGTAAGGTGCTCTGAACATCATTATTCTTGTTTCATATTGGGGAATCTGGGGCAAAGTTGTTACCTGCAAGGTTATGTAAGCAGGGAGAATAGAAGCAGAGTTAACCCACCTGAGTTAACCCAAACTTTTATATCTTTGGAGATTAAAAACAAATCGTGCAAGTAAGAAACCGATTCTGTTGCCGCTACCTCTGTGGTTTCCCTGTTACAAATATAATGACTTCTCTCTGAACAAGAACTGAGGAAAGGGCCTTTACAACAGAGGATTTAATGATTTACACCTAAGCAGCAGTGTGCAGGTTGTGCCCAGCTCCCCTGATGGTCTCTCATCCAAATACTGTCAAGCCGGGGACAGTTCAGTTCCAAAGGTGAAACACTTCATTGCTGACATCAATTAATTTCTGATCATCCAGTCCCCTGTCATATGGTAGGAAATGCTCATGTCCTCCTGCTTCAGACTTAAAAGCCAAAAAAAGCTACTCTGTGCCTTCCCAGCTCCCAGGCAACCCAAGGCTGGTTAGCATGTTCTCACCAACCCAAGAATTCGTCAGCTCACCCTTCATTCAAACTGCAAACATCCGTGTTCGCTTTGTAGCTGATGTGAAAAGCAGCAGCATCCCACAGAAACTTCCAGCACAGGAACTGTCAGTGCCTGAGCCACACTCTCGGCGTTTTCCACTGAAAGCCCAGAGCAGCAAGAACGCTCCTTTGTGCACTGGAGTCACATCGCATCCGCTCAGCTGCTACTCATCGGCTGCTCAGACGCAATGATGCTTGGCTCTCCCCAGGGATGAGGCAGGGTATGAAGAATTTGCCTGCTGCTGCACCCAGATTGTTGCTGATACTGTTCTTATAACTGACAATTTGGTACAACAGTCAGATAGACAACCCTTCTCATATGGTGCCTTTTGGTTCTTTTAAGAGGCAATAATTGTTGTGAGCAGAGAGGTGGCATATGGCTAAGTCTCGAGGATGGTGACAATGTCCTTAGCAAAACTCTGATGAAGAAGTGTGTATCTCCCTTTAAAACACTTGATTTTTCTTCATGAAATACAGTCAGATTGCTCTCCCAGAGAGTGCCAACTGAAAACACTGCAGATTAGTGGGGGATAGAGAATATTCTCCTCTCTGAAATCTCTCCTTGTCACCTCTCTCCTTAAAAAATTAAGAAGTTTGCAGGTGAAATTGAAGTACCTCAGACTGCAAACCTCTAAAATAAGCACACAGCTGGAGCAGCAGTAATACAACATTTCAGGAAGTAACCTCAAAACCCCTTTTCTACCATCAAATCTCATTTACTTGTTCAAGTATCAGGTACTCCTGAGAACAAACATGAAAGCAAAGTTTTCCCACCAGGAGAAAGCTGTAGACATATGGTAGCGTTCATGATGAAATACATTATACATTTGCAAATACACAAATAAATGCATATAATTGTGGGTGTCTGAGTAAATCAGAAACACTGCTGTCCTGATCTATGTATCAGTTGTATCAATAAGAGTTGATTTGCTTAGAAATGAGAGGAACTGCTAGACCCTCAGGACTGGCAAATTTAATACACAGAGAGGTGATAAGGATTCATTAACTCACTCTTTGAGAAAAAAACAAACTACTGAACAAATGCAGAATTAAGTGAAGTTAATGAGTAGAATTAAGTGAAGTTTTAATGACGAGATTTCTGTTATACTTTTTCAAAATCAGAAATTAATCCCATCAAAATAATCAGCTAATTAATGCAAATCCTAACACACCTGCTCCAAGAAGTCTTTATAACCAAGTAAAACGCATTCATAATTTATATGTTATAGACACAGTATCCTTCAGTGTTTGTTTTGAATTACAAGTTTCCCATAGAAAGAGCAGTTCATTTACATAAAATAAACAAATGTTAAGCTTTTGGAGACACTATTACACCTTTTAAATACATCATGATTCAATGACTTCCTATCTTACCTACAGTGCAGAATGCTTTCTCTTACAGTCAGGCTGCTTGCCGGACCCACCCGAGGTGAAACATCCCCTAAGGAGCAGCACTGCTCAGTGAAGAACCCGCAGCCAGAGCCAGCACGTGTCCTACGGATGAAGAAGGATCACTGCTCCTGTCATATTTTAGGCATCACACTTGGAGGTCACGCTTGTGGGATCATTCATTATTACTTTACTTTCTGCTTGGCGAGTCTTAAAATTAACAAAGCCCTTAATGTACTTGCAGTCCATCAGAGCAGTTCAGGGATTTAATTATCAATTTCTTCAGAGTCAGTTTTATGAGTATCATTATTGGTAGTAGTATACACAGGCCAAACCACTCCGCTTATCGGTGTTGCTTAAGCAGACTTCTACATTATGAATGGCATGGCAAAAGAGAATAAAATCCTCCTTATGAGGCACTGCTTCCATCCTCGATACCATGCCATGGCAGTTTCAGTTTAAAGGCCTCCGTGATACCTCACGCTTTGTCATGGGATGGCAACTGGCTAGATCCTTCTGCGTCCATTACTCAGGGGCAGGACTGAAATCACTAGGATTAGAAACTGGATTAAAAGCTCAGGCTGGAGCTGCAAGAGATGCCGATTAGCAGTCTTGAAGGCAGGACCGGTATCCTTGAGAGAAAAATACCTCCTAGTCCCCAGCCGCTTTTGCTGCAATCAGCCAAGCCCTCACACCCCACAACATGCATGAGTAAGGGGCTTACCAGCACCACTTCCAGTATACTGACCGTATGCTCATGTGTTTTGCGTGCTTATATTTGTGAATATGACTCCGTCAAAGCTGTATTTTATACTGTTTCTCAAATATTGCATCAAAACCAATAATGCAGATTAAAGTTTAATACCACAACTAACTGTCAAATTAAGGGTAAGTAGTTGACAGAAAGCTGAAAATGGTGTTGGGTACCTTAAAACAATTGGCTAGATGGTGCCTGACCCTGCTCTGAGCCCCACCAGTCAGCGTCACACCAGCTCTGGCAAGCCAGGGGCTGCTGTCCCATCCAAGCCCTACACAGCAACCAGGGTCCCAGCTCTGGTCTGCGTTCATGCACCAGTGTGGACACAGCTGCAGGAACCAGTTCTCTGCTGCCCTTCCACTCCTTTGCCAGTCTTGTCCTGTCTGCTGTCACTTGAGCCTCTTTCATGAGCTATTCATTCTTCTTAAAAGAAATTAGTAAAGATGAAAAGACTGGTATGCTGACTTATGATGTTATATGTTTCTGAGAGAAAGATCAAGCCATTTGAGGTATACAAGGAAAAAAGTTTTGTACAAGGAAAAGGTGATTATAAGCCCATCTTAAATGGATAGTTGGGAAATAAAACGTAAAAAATAAACGAATGTAAAGAAACTAATATAAGGTATCAGAAATACATGACAGATCAATAAGGGGAGACGCTGAATCAACAGAGAGCAATGGGAAATACTTTGCAACAGAATAAGACGTTACAGGAAAATTAAACATGTTCTTCATCTCGCAAGGAAAAGGGAAGGTGAGATGCCAGAAGTGAAAACAATGTGTCCTGGGGTGGACAATGAAAAACTAGAGACATTAGCAACCTCTCCAGAACAAGTCTTGGATAATTTAAAATCAATAAAAACAGTGAGAGCCCAAAGATCAGATGAGACACACTTTGGGATCCTGAAAGAGATGGCAGACAGATTATTGGACTGCCATGAGATATCTTTAATAGCATCTTTGAAACAGCAAGGTGTCAATAGACCAGAGAGAAACAAACAAAGTAACAGTCGTAGGAAGGAAATTATGGAGAGCTATGAATTAAATTTGACCTCCAAAGCAGACAAGGTCCAAGAAATAATCGGTGATAAGATCAAAAAACTCCAACTTTTGAGAAATAGGAAAACTTTAGGAAATAGGAACTTTAGTGGAATAAGAATCTCACTGACAGCTACTGCAATTTCCTAATGCATACTTCTCTTTCACTGGCATTTTTAAAGTCAAGATTACAGACAATTAGTAAGACGGATAGGCTGATACTCTTTAGATTTAGGATGTCACATAATATAGAAAGACAGTCAATTAATACATACTAGACAAGTTCTTATATGGATAAAAAATGGCTAAGGAAAAGTCATGTATGCAGTCATCAGTGATGCAGGATAATTAAGCTGGATGAATGAAAATCAAGGCAATGTTCATTTCCAAGGATCAGAAAAGACACAGGGTTTGTTAATAGGTCGTGTTCATACATTCCTCTCAAATCTATGTGCCAGAGTGGCTCCTGTTATGCAATGGCTTACCCTACTCACATCCTGAACTTGCAGCTTCTTGCAGTTTCATTTAAATGTAAAATATGACCCAATGACTCTCTGCACCTGTATCCCCATGTTCGGTGCTGATTGAACTCAACTTACAGGGCTGAACTGGCATTTACTGCCCAGCATGCATGCTTGGAGTGTCTTAGAAGTCACACACAGCTGAGCTTGTTCAGCTTCTGATAATGGCATCAACATAGATAAACTCCAGATGCAGGGTTAAATAACAAAGGATAGCGGCAAGAGGCACTGTGTTACAGCAAACCTTGATTTTCTGATAAGCCCCAAATCCTGGGAACTGTGTTACTCACTCCCAGGGTCAGTTCACTCAGAGTAAGTGACTCATTCTGACCCATTTCTATTCCACCTCTAATTTTCTTCTGCAGCTAGTGTGGAGATATGTAGGCTGGGGAGAGAGAAAGTAACAGTCTTCAAATACCAGCAAAGAGGAGAAAGACCCCACACCCACTCCAGATAGAAAATGAAGTTGTAACTAAGGGGATTAGGTGAAACACTAGGGAAAACTTTTAACTTGAAAGCGGGTAACGCATTGGAGCAGCCAGCTTTCAGAGGCTGCAGGATCTCATATTGAAAGTTTTTATACATAGTTTTTCATCAACAGGTTAAATAAACATCTATCAGAATGAATACCATCCTGGGCCAGAGGAGGGACCATATGACCTCAAGTCATTACTTTATCCCTTATGACTATGTTTTAAAAATCTCCGCAGACTCATAGGCTGTTAAACAGCTGCTATGTTTCATGCTGGCAATGACTGATTTTCAGTTGTCTCTGAACTTGCTGCTGCTTAAATGCACATTGTTAAAACCTCCAAGCTTTTCCAGTCTACCACGGAGTGTCCTGTAGAAGTAACCGTTATCTCTGTCTTGTGGCATCACACACTTCTCCTTCTGACTCTTCTCTTGCTTTTCCCTCCCCTCTAATTCTGCCCAGGGTCATGCTGAGCTGGGAAGTAGCTGGGAAGAAAAAGGTATTAGAAATGTTGTCTCCAAAGAGCTTCAGAGAATCAAGGTCTCTGCTGACACACCTGAACACTGCTCAGGTTTTCAGAGCACAACATAGCGGGGAACATCATATTCAGATTGAACAATGGGGTCTTCTTGATAGAAGAAAATGTCTCATTATCTTCTTATTGCAGGACAAAAGCAAGGATTTTTCAGGCATTTACAAGGAGGAGGAAGATAAAAAAGAGCACAATGAGAATTATTACTGAAATCGATTTTCCTTCTTTGGCAATGACCTGTTAAACAACCTTCGTGCAAGTCCCAGAGTCCCTAGTCAGCCTTGCCTCAGGATAGAAAGACACACCTCAAAGAGTGCTGTTGGAGCTTTGTAGCATCAAGTCAAGATACTGCTCATTTTGTGATATTTCTGTCTGAAAAAAAAAAAAAATCTTATTGGTGACTACACCCAAAGGAAAGAAAGTTCATACTTTACCTGAAGCATCAGGATGATAGAGGCTGGGAGCACTCGTTATTTCTCCTTGCTGATGGAGACAGCTACCTGAGGATCTTTGACTTGCAATGAGAATCCTGCTTTTTGCAGACGGTAACCTGGACACTGCCCCCAGTCCTAACTGTGGCTTGAGTATCATGGCAGATCGATAAAAACTTGGTGGGACCTCATAGTGAGTATATGGTGGAGGACAAAATTCATCTTTTGCAGGTCTTTCCCCAACCTACAGAAAAATCATTATCAGAGATATTACGCAATAAATCAATAAAAACAGAGAACATGGAGCTCTAAATTGCTTATAAAGGCTGATATTCCCTCCTTGTGAATGTGAACTTCAGAGCACTGCAGACTGATCATCACTTTCAAAAAGTGATGGTCTTACCACGTGAAGCGCTCTCCACAAATACACACATTACAGTCTCAAAACCCAACCAAACCTAAGTAAAGAACTGGTACCTTCCCAAAAAGAAAATAGACAAATAGAAGATCTTCAATTAGTAAAAATTAAGTTACTTTTAAGTCCTGAAAGGTTATGTTATTTACAGAGGTAGATACACCAAGAGAGTGTGTAAGTGGAATTTTTATTAGAAGTTATTTAGAATATTCTTACTGAGATACAATTTTGGGGGAAGTCGGTTTTAACTTTGATAGTTAAAAATAAAGCTGAAGGTATTTTAAGTTCAGAGAAATGGTATTGTCAAATCCTTTGTGTGAGAAAAAAAAAACTCTATATGTTCTTACTGCAAAATGTTCATTGTAATCTGTGCCCCTGAAGTTCCTGAAAAGAGACCTGATTTTGGAGGTGGGCACATTTCTGTACGTTACATTTTCAAGGGGCTGTTGAATATTCCAAATCAGAGCTATAAAACCCAGTTGCCCATTTGAACCAGAGAAAAAAAGCAAATTTGTAGATGTGAAACATTTATTGTTTATCATAAAATAAAATCAGTGACAAATCTCTCAGTATTGTAATGGGTATATACTGGGAGGGCAGTAAGTCCCAAGCTGGAAATGTTTCCAGCAAACTGGCTGTTACCAGAAAACTTGCAGTCTGAGAATGACCCAGTTCCCCAATTCAGCCCTTGCATTTTTCTACTCTCAAGCTGGGCTCTGACTCCCACTTCGCCGTGCTGCTTCATCACTCAGGACAAGGGCACGGAGCAATGTCACTAGCTTTACTCTCTCTCAGTTGCAAAGAACCATTTGCTCGTCGAGATAGAGTCCAACTGCTTTACTATTTTCTTACAAAATGTAAAATCATCATAATCTAGAAAGGACCCATGAATGTTTCTTCAGTGCATCTCATTTAGGCCAGAGGAAAAAAAGGGCTTAGGAAATAGGAAATCTGAACTAAATTTATTTAAAAATTAATCAAAAAAGTGCCACAGGCTACCTAGGAGGAAACATAACTGCCAATTAATTAACTCTGCTGTAAGTTATGATGCATATAATATGCCAAATCAATTTCTATTTAGCACTTATAAGCATTTTGAATATGCACTTCAACATTGGCTATAAAAGCTTTGATCCTAGCTGCTTCAAGAGCTTTAACCCTAATTTAGTAAATCTTTACTATGCTAAAAGAGAAAAGGTTGGCCTTAAACTATTAAATATAGAATCCTTGAGGCCTCTGCACAGGAACTAGGAGGGCAGATGTAACAAACACCAAGCATTATATTTTTGCTCTATATTTTTTCCTTTGTTTGCAGTCCTATTTCCTGCCATTAGATCTTCCTGTTTCCTTTTTTGTTTTACTTCTATGACCTATTTCTTCAAGTTAGGATGCAGGTTTTTACTGTATCGATGATTGTCTAGGCTTGGGCTGCAGGAGATGTTTAGCTTCTTATTTACAACTTCTGGATATGAGATTGTTTTCCTGGGTAAGATTCAGTTATTTTTTTCTCTCCCTAATGAATTTATTTCAGTGAGATTCCACTAGAAACTTCTTACCGTTTCATATTTAACTGGCAGTGAACATACCAATGACAAGTAATTCAGTATAAGGAATAGAGAAAAATCTTTAAATATAGAAACCACGCATTTTTTTATAAACTGGGTCAGCTTAGCCAAACCTTCAGTCACCTCATTTTTTTTCTTTATTGACAGTATGCTACGAGTAACACAGAAGGGCAACAAACATGCACACAAAAACAATCAACCACAAGCATAAAACATCTTCTCAAGCTGAGAAGTGAGAAGGATTTAGAATAGAATCATTTAGGTTGGAAAAGACCCTTAAGATCATCAAGTCCAACTGTAATTTACCCAAATATCTCTCAAGAAATAGATGGTTTTTTTGAAGAGCCCAGTTTTGGTGGACATAAACTTGCTATAAGACACATTTTTTCTTTTCTATTTAACAGTGAATTCATGAAGTGTAAAATTCAACTGGTCTTAGAATCATGTGCAATTATTGATTAGAAGGCCATTTTAAAGCTCTTCAAAAAGATATGGATTAATATGAGACTTGTTAGCATCCTGTACTAGATTTTTGGTCAAGGGACTTTTAAAGAAAAGATCTGTTGCAGCCTGTCAACTAAAAAGCAGCTCATCTCAGAGTTTATTGTGTGTGGCTGTCTGCTCATTCCCCACTCCCTCCATTTAATGAAGTTGTCAGAGCTGGAAAGTCTGCAGCAAATACTTGGGGCATACAGGAATTTCCACAGGCTGGGTAATCCTGAGCAGAGCTGGCAGCATGGCCAGCAGGTAAGGATGCCCAACACTTCCCTTTGTGTTACTCTGTTTATAACATCATCAAACATTAATGCCTCAAGCAAGAAATTTCTTGTCAAGTGCCTGTCTCAGGCCACTATTTGGGAAAAGAGTCAGTGAAATCGGTTCGGGCAGTTCAGATAATGAGATTAGCAGGGAAAAATGCTGGTTTGCCTACGTATAAAACAAGTCCCTTACCTCTTTTTCCCCTACAGGCCTTTCTTTTCAACAGGCACTCTGGAGCAGAAAATGTCCATGGTGGGGAACAGCCTCAAGGGGGTGGCTGAACAGGGCAGGTGCAGCCTTGGGGAGGCAGGCAGGAGACCTGGTGATCAGCAGACCTCCTCACCTCCTTACAGACCCTCCTGGAACCAGGGCTCTCAGCAGCAGCCGATAAAGTAGGCAATAAAGCGAGCCAAGAACCACTCTCTGGCAAGGCATGGACCATATCCATACAGGTAAACTCTCACCCTGCAGACCAGGTTGGTCGCGTCCACACTGGCCCTTGCGAACAGCTTCTGGGTGGGCACAAGCCGGCAGAGGTGGACACTGAGCTGGGGAGCGTGGTCCCAGTCCAGCAGTATGGACAACCTTGTGTGAGCCTTGGAGGCCATACCCTCCCGCTGTTCAGTTCACTAGCATGGCTACAGTCTTTGGGTCACACGGTTTGCTCTGTTACTTCCCACAGAGGTAACTGGGAACACAAAGTGGCCACAAATTCCCACTGGTGCTGAGTAGAAGAGGCTGAGGTCCACACTGAGTTGGAGAGCCCACATTGTGATGAAGCATGTGAACAGCAACGGTCTGCCCTGGACAATGACTGCTTTTTTAAGCATTTCACTTTGAGGGGTTTTCTACCTTTTTTTTTTCTGGACAAAGACAGGCATGAAAGATCTACCTCCACACCATGCCGAGGTTCCAAAGAAAAGCACTCAGGGAGCTGCCAATGCCACAGGCAAGGCTGCCCATTTAACCTTAACTCAACTCCATTACGGATGCAGTCTCTAAACACAGCTGGATTACCTTCATGCCTCAGCCGGGATTTTTGTCTGAGCTGCCCTTACATGGGCTTTAGCATAGGCAGCTGAAGGAGCCCAGCAGGCTCCTCACTGCATGGAGGTAGCCCTCAGGTCTTCCTCAGACAGCTCTCCAGGTCTTGCCTTGGAGTCCCCTGTCCAAGACAGCACCTTCCAATTTTTTCCAGCTCATGGCACCCAGAGGGGTATGTAATTGTTCCTACCATTAAGCTAGCTGAAGGGTGCCTAGAGATTACAGGTCTGACTGATAGCAGCTATTAACACTCCCTATCATAGCTATGTAAAGAGTTATAAAATGCTAATGCAAGTCCTCCAAAGCCCAAATTGGATGTGTGAAATAGGGCAGACTGGGGTTTTTTGCCCTCAGAAAGGAAATGCGGGGTATCCATCCTGCCCCAGCATCTCCTTATCTCCAAAATCCCTGAGTTTTCAACACTGTCTCTTCACCAGGTGATTTTGATCTATCTCAACCCACCCTAATTGCTTTCTTTCAGATTATATATCAGTCATCTGCTATGAACCTGTACTGTGCACAGCTGCTCTTCTAAGCATCTGTCCACTTCCATGGATCAATCATTTTCCTTTCTCTTGATCTATACTGGAGCTAAATCAGTCCCCTTTACATTCCCGCAACTAGCAGGGGACTAAGGTACTTGCTTTTAGGGTGGCAGCCCGAAAGAGCAAATGCCATGCCCTGCTATCAGCTCCTGACTCCTGGGCTAACACAAACTCGTTATACAAACTGCAGTTTGATTGACTTTTCCTTCCCAGCCTCTCCTCCAGGCAATCCAGCTTCTCTGAAGAAACAGCTTGCTTGAGTTCAAATCTTCCCTCACTGAAACACCTACCCAAAATCATATTTCTTGGACGAGTGACAGAAGATGCTTTGGATCTTCTCCAGCCCATAAGCGTCCTCCTTCTAACTCTAGTTGAGAGTAAATCATGCTGCAGACTTGCCACAATCTGGGTCCTTCTTATGTTAAGAACAGTCCTCAGTGGCACACAGAAATCGGTCCTTTGCTCCCAGATGTGTCTGCTGATCCTAACTGATTATCTGAACCCCAATTGTATAGACCACAGACATCTATGGTCTTCAGAGGGTCATGCACCCTATAAACAGCCAAACAGCTGCACAGTCTGGGTTATTTTGGCTTTAATTTCCATAGCCATACATTAAACAGTAATAACTTCATGTACAATACGATTGTGAAGATATACTAATAATGGCTGGCATAGACAAGCTCACAGTGACTTTAGTAATTCCTCTTCTGGACAGAAAATATAAGGGAGAAAGCTGGAAACTGAAGGTGGAGGGGAAAAGGCAGCAAGTGCTGATGAGATGCTGCTCTATGAAAAACTATAAACCATGATCACTTCAATAGGTTGCCTGTTAACATGCCATAAGGGCCAATCTACACTCACACACGATATCTTAATTTGGGTATTTGATGACTTGTGATTGTCAACACTGTCACCAAATTTGTTATTTCAATGCTTTTCTTTGGATAAATACTGTATGTAGAATGAGGCAGCCATTAAAATAGCCTCAATAACACCATGCGACATGCAGCAAAAAAAGTTATTTTTTTTAAAAGACTGGTTCAAATTAAATACACTTGTGTTATCTTCAGTATTTATATAAAAAGTTTGGTTGTTGAGCTACCACAGGTCCCAGAGCAGAGGATGCAAGGGCACATCATGGACCCAAATGTAGCTCCCTCTTCCCTATCCTTTCTCCACTTTCCAAGCAAGGTCAACCTTCCTCCACTGAGCTCACCTCCCAGCAGGACCAAGACTCCTGTCCAACTTACCGAGATGGAAACAGTGAGATATCAGGAGCCAGAATTGGCCAGAGGGACTTCCATCACCTTTTGGCTGATGTTTGGGATGGCTTTCCAGGGGAAGGAGATTTCTTATTTAAGATGCAGTTCAATAATCACACTGCTTTAAAATGAATCAAAAGTAAATCTTTTTCTGTATGATATATATAATCTAACAAGAGCTCTGATAGTCCCTGGGTTTCAGTACAGCTAAACAGAAGGGAATTAGTTTAGACCTCTAAGTGCTCTGTCTGCAAAAACCTGCCAACTTTCCCGTTAAAGACAAAAAGTCTCTGTGGGCAAATTAAATTCATTTCTCAAAGCTATTCTTTGGAGAAAAAAAAATAAACTCCATTTATGGATAAATTCAAACAGTGTGTCTTTTCCTTACTAAACTTCCCTATTTACGCTGGGACATCCCAGTTTACAGGGAAACATTGGAAGAGGAACACTGTGACACCTTCCAGACACAGGTCAGACATCGCAACAGGGTCAGTGCCAGAAACAGTTAAGTTTATTTCTAATGATCACACATTGCCTTGATTTAGGATTTATTTCTTATTTGAGGTTTGAGAACTAACTTCTGGCAGCAACAAGTAAGCAAATACATACAAAAAAGGCCCCCTTACCTCCTGCAGAAATTTCTCACTCATTGGACCAAAGTGATGGCCTGGGGGCCTAATTCCTGACACCACCAGCCCAGAACTGAAGAGTCTTGGCTTCTGGAGGTCGGGTTTAAATTTGTCATACAGGATGCTGGTCGGCTTCACCTCCCCTCCGTTGGATGCTTTCTGCTCTGTAGTGATGGGCATGCCACACGCAGGGGTACCGAAGGGCAGCCCTGCCGGCGTAAACGAAGGGTCGAGCTGCTCTATCGAACGAGGGTTTCTTCTAATGTATGTGATGATTTTAGGTCTCACGGGTTTGGGCCTCGGTATGGCAGGTTTCATCTCGATGCTTTCTTCCACCTTTTCGCTGCAGTCACTGTCCACATCCACCTTATCTGCAAGGGAGCCCTTGGAGTGGACCAGGATAGGTTTTGGGATGGCGCTGCTGCAGGCAGGCTTGATAGGCACTTTAGGGGATATGTTTAACAACTGCGTGCTGTCAATGGGAGGTATGACCGAGGAGGGTGACAGTTTGTCAACAGGAAGTGCATAAAGGTCCTTCAAATTACTGTTTGATAGTGTGGGCTGACTATTAACATCCAGCATTGCCACCGGGCGCGTGGGAGTTGGGACACATAAAAAGGCACCAGCCTTTGCTGAAAACTTACAGCTCTCTGGTGCTTCTTCTGGAGGATGTTTCTGTGCATTTGCTGCCTTTTTACTTGGAACTGAAAAGCTCGAGGTTTCCAAATCACTGTCATGGTTGTCAGGTTGTTGATTTGACACTGTCTCTGCACTGCACGCTCTGTGCTGATCTGAGAGATCAGAAGCAGGCATGGCAGCATCCTCAGTGTTTCCTTTGACTAGCGCTGGTTTATTCTCATTAACTTTCAAGGGTTTGCTGTCAGGTAGATTAATGTTATGTATAAGAGATAACTGTTCACCAACTGTTTCAGCACAATCTGCATCAACTTCATGTAAATTTTCATTTTTTCTAGGTGTCACTTTGCCACTGGATTTACTACCACAGATGAATGGCAATATTGTTTCCACTTCTTTGTCAGTAAAATATTCCTCACTATCCTGGCCTGTTGCCCTGTTGTCACTGTCATTGTTTCCTCTCCGTTCCCCACCGATGGTGAGGTTATCGCTTAGCAATTTGTCATCAGGATAGGCTACCACCTGGCTTGACAATTGATCCTCTACTTTATTACAAGTGTCTTGAAAATGGGATGCTTGAAATTTTGATGCGTCAGACCCAGAGCCTTTCTGTTCCTGCACTGCTGTATTTTCATCTTTTTGACATCCCAGGAGCTCTACCAGCATAATTCTCTCAATCTTTTGTTGACACGTATTCTTAGATTGTAGCGATGGTGTAGTCTTAAGCTCAAGTTTTTTACTTTTATCACCCTGACCTAATTGTGCTTCTGATTTACTAGCAATCTCACTGGGCTTAACAGCTGAATGTTGAGAATGAGAAGTATGCAGTGTGCTTTCAACATTAACATTTGGTACATTTTCTGGTTTACTTATTTTCTTGTTCCCTGAGGTAGATGGTTTGGAATAAAATACAATATTTTCTTCTGAGGTATTGTCGAGTGGATGAAACACCATCCCAAGAAAATGATCAGTGGATGGTTTTTTCTCTGTATTTCCTATCAAATGGTGCGACCTGTCAATGGAGTCCAATGATGCAGAAAGCAGGCGTTTACATGACACGCGGCCAACACAGTCTTTTGAAAATGTTTCAGATTGAGGAGAGAATTTACTTGGTCTTCCCAAAGAAAGCCTCTTTATCCTCTCCATCTCCACAGTCCTGGACATTTTACCCTTAGAAAAGTTCTGGGTGAAATCAACATCACCTTTGGAAATAACCTCCAGGTTGGCATCATTTGTGCTACTTTTTAAATTGGACAGACTTTGTCCTCGGCTAATCCTGATATACCTTGATATATCCTTAGCTTTGTTGGTCCTACAATCTTTCCCCATTTCCCTGGTTGTGGTGGAGGGCAGCTTACTTTCCTGTACACCAGCGTGACAGGTCCGAGAGTCTTTGAAGGTCAGAAGTTTATTCTGCTCTGTATTCAGATGAGTAACTTTCTCTGATACTCCAGAGTGTATATTCCCACTCTCATCTGTCAAATCATGTTTCTTAATATCCCCTTCATTGGTTCTAACTTTTGTCACAATTTGGTTGGCATTGGTATCCCCCACACTCACTATGCTTTCATTATTATTTTTTATTTCGCTGCAGTTGTCCTGAAGCTGGGCATAACATGACTTGCTTGGGATTAACGGAGTACTCATATTGCAGCTTCAGGTGACTGCTTTTTTGGCAGTCACAATTATTCAGAAAGCTTTTTTTCCTATCAGGTTAACTATTATGCATGCTTCGGTTATACATTGAAATTATAAACTGATCAGTAGAAAATTCCTTGTCAGAAAGCTTGGAGTCTCTTATCAGAGTCACATTTTTATATTGCTCAGTTGTCTTTCGTGCAGCCTCTGGACCTAGGACATGCAGTAGAGAGGTTCAACAAAAGCAAAATAGATCTGTCAAGTTCCTTCTGAACGAAAGCCAATTAATCCAGCCAACCTATGAGAAAAAAAAAAAAGACAGTGTTACCTTGATGTCAGGAATCATGCTAACTAAACCAAAGTTAAAATCAAGACCACTCCCAGGTACCTCCCCAGGACAGAGTGTTTTCTGACCTTAGATGCTGTTTAAATCACAGCTTTTCTCCCAGCAAAGATTCTTAGTGTAGCACAGATCTCTGACTTGAGAAGATACACAGTTAAAACTGTCCTGGTTAGAAGAGTGGTTGCTACTGTTTTTAAGCCACATAGATTTACAACTAGAAATAGGCATAAACAGCTAGGTGAGGATGGGACCCCACATCAAGGGTCTAAACACTTTCATATCACTATAACAATGTCTTTATTGCATCAAGAGTGGCTACTCACACATTTAAAGCATCAGTGTATAGACAAGCCATAAATAATAAAATTCCAGCTCCATTAGGGGATGTTTATGGGTTTCTCTCCTTGCCTTGTACAAATTTTATGAACTTATGAACTGGCAGGCCTCATTGAGAGGG